ATCTCAGCAACACTGGATAAATTAAGTGTCTGCATTTCCAAATCAACCAATTACAAATCTATTAATCAAATGTAGAGGTAACATCAAAATTGACATCTAGAAAAATGAAACATGGTATCAATTATTTGTTCGAGTACTCAGTTAGGAATGATTGTGTAAAAGTGATTATTCATTACCGAAAATATTTCATCAGCTTCGTGTGCACCATCACGTTAGTCTCCATCTGTTTTATAATAATTTGAATGCTGATGTAAATGTTACTTTATTCATTTCAGAGTCACAACCAGCACTAGAGAATGTAGCGATCGGTAAGACAGCAACGCAAAGTAGCGATTGGTCGGCTTCTTACCCGGCAAGCAATGCTGTGGATGGTAATACAAACACGGATTGGTATAGTGGCAGCTGTACCAGCACCAAAGACAACCAAAATGCCTGGTGGAAAGTGGATCTTGGTGGGAATTACCTTGTTCATGAAGTAATTGTTACTAATCGCCTAGATTGTTGTGGTGAGTTGTTTCCTGGTACACTCTCGATCACTCTAGGTTCAATGGTTTTATAGAGCGTTGCTTTGGTGTCTTTGCATCAAATTGGTACAGTGTGTTCTTTTATTAGTTGTAATTACCAGGTATCTGTATATGTTATATAATCTTTGAAAGTATGCAATAAAATGCTTTCATAATAACTTTAGTATAGCTGGTTTTACCATATATTGTGGGTTTTTTATATGTAGCATGTTGTTTTATGAAGAGGATAACATATGGTTCATCATTGTATTTCAGAAACCCGTATTTTGAATGCTGAAATTCGAGTTGGTTTGTCAGATGATATATCAGAAAATAGTCAATGTGGTGAAAAAATAACTTCAAGTCAAACCAGTCAAGACAAACATTCATATCCAATGTAGCAGTCCAATCGTTGGGCGTTATGTCAGTATGCAGCTGGTAGATAGATCTGACCTTCTCAACTTTTGTGAAATGCAGGTCATGGCTGAAGGTAAGAAACACTCATTGTACATTGCTCTAAAACGACCAAGACGAACTCACATGACCATGGAATAGTTTTGCCCAGCGACCTGCAGCAACATTCACTCCCCATCATTGTTTTCCAATGCGTAGTTCTTTTATTGATACTAACAGAAAATGTAACAAATGGTTGAGATAGAACAATAATCACTGAACATATTGTATGATACCAGACACTTCAGATTAGTTGACATATAACTCAAAGCATATCACTTGTTTGTGAAGACGCAATGAATAAGTTGACTGAATTAATCTTTTTATAATAATAATAATAATAATAATTCTTTCTTCAATTGCGTATAAAATCTAAAAAAGCACGCACAATCTCAGCAACACTGGATAAATTAAGTGTCTGCATTTCCAAATGAACAAATTACAATTCTATATATCAAATGTTGTGGTAACATTGAAGTTGACATCTAGAAAAATGGAATATGGTATCAATTATTTGTTCGAGTATTCAGTTAGGAATAGTCGTGTTAAAGTGAATAACCATTATCTAAATTATTTCATCAGCTCCGTGTGCACCATCACGTTAGTCGTCATCTGTTTTAGCTAATTTGAATGCTGACGTATTTGTCACTTTATTCATTTCAGATTCACAACCAGCACTAGAGAATGTAGCGATCGGTAAGACAGCAAAACAACATACATTCCCCATCATTGTTTTCCAATGCATAGTTCTTTTATTGATACTAACAGAAAATGTAGCAAATGGTTGGGATAGAACAGTAATCACTGAACATATCGTATGATACCAGAAACGTCAGATTAGTTTACATATAACTCAATATCCAAGCATATCACTTGCTTGTGAAGATGCAATGAATGAATATGTTGACTGAATTATTCTTTTTATAATAATATATCTTTCCCCAATTGCGTATAAAATCTAAAAAGACAAGCACAATCTCAGCAACACTGGATAAATTAAGTGTCTGCATTTCCAAATCAACCAATTACAAATCTATTAATCAAATGTAGAGGTAACATCAAAATTGACATCTAGAAAAATGAAACATGGTATCAATTATTTGTTCGAGTATTCAGTTAGGAATGATTGTGTAAAAGTGATTATTCATTACCGAAAATATTTCATCAGCTTCGTGTGCACCATCACGTTAGTCTCCATCTGTTTTATAATAATTTGAATGCTGATGTAAATGTTACTTTATTCATTTCAGAGTCACAACCAGCACTAGATAATGTAGCGATCGGTAAGACAGCAACGCAAAGTAGCGATTGGTCGGCTTCTTACCCGGCAAGCAATGCTGTGGATGGTAATACAAACACGGATTGGTATAGTGGCAGCTGTACCAGCACCAAAGACAACCAAAATGCCTGGTGGAAAGTGGATCTTGGTGGGAATTACCTTGTTCATGAAGTAATTGTTACTAATCGCCTAGATTGTTGTGGTGAGTTGTTTCTTGGTACACTCTCGATCACTCTAGGTTCAATGGTTTTATAGAGCGTTGCTTTGGTGTCTTTGCATCAAATTGGTACAGTGTGTTCTTTTATTAGTTGTAATTACCAGGTATCTGTATATGTTATATAATCTTTGAAAGTATGCAATAAAATGCTTTCATAATAACTTTAGTATAGCTGGTTTTACCATATATTGTGGGTTTTTTATATGTAGCATGTAGTTTTATAAAGAGGATTACATAAAATTCATCATTGCATTTCAGAAACCCGTATTTTGAATGCTGAAATTCGAGTCGGTTTGTCAGATGATATATCAGTAAATAGTCAATGTGGGGAAAAGATAACTTCAAGTCAACCAGTCAGGCAAAACATTCATATCCAAATGTAACAGTCCAATCGTGGGCGTTATGTCAGTATGCAGCTGGTAGATAGATCTGACCTTCTCAACTTTTGTGAAATGCAGGTCATGGCTGAAGGTAAGAAACAATCATTGTACATTGCTCCTAAAACGACCAAGACGAACTCGCATGACCATGGAATAGTTTTGCCCAGCGACCTGCAGCAACATTCATTCCCCATCATTGTTTTCCAATGCGTAGTTCTTTTATTGATACTAACAGAAAATGTAGCAAATGGTTGAGATAGAACAATAATCACTGAACATATTGCATGATACCAGAAACTTCAGATTAGTTGACATATAACTCAAAGCATATCACTTGTTTGTGAAGACGCAATGAATAAGTTGACTGAATTAATCTTTTTATAATAATAATAATAATTCTTTCTTCAATTGCGTATGAAATCTAAAAAAGCACGCACAATCTCAGCAACACTGGATAAATTAAGTGTCTGCATTTCCAAATGAACAAATTACAATTCTATATATCAAATGTTGTGGTAACATTGAAGTTGACATCTAGAAAAATGGAAT